ACCCCCCTCCTGCTTCTCCCATTCTATCTATAAAACCCTAGCTCGCGGACGTTCTAGAAACCCTAACCCTGTTGCTTGAATAACTCGAATGCGTCGATTCAACCGTCCTCCGCTTGTGAACATTAACCTTTACATCATTACTGCCTGTACACACAGAGACCCTTTTCCGCTCCCTACGAAACGCCACCTACTCTATAGACTGATCCCGTGCAGGGTATTATATATACTCGACGAGGGATCTAACCTGCACTCTTTACTCTAACTCTTCCTACGAACTATGTCTCCCTTGTCCTTGTCGCACCAAACTCTTTTCACTTTGAGCTTGGCTTCAAAGTATATCGCATGTGTTTTATAAAGATGGCATTCATTCTGTGCGTTTACTTTATAAAGTCGACATTTCAAGCTACTCTCTTGCCTGTTATCTTTGATGAGTGATTGCGCAGTAACTAACTGGTTGGAATGATGGCGCTTCCCACGTAGGGCACAATATGATCCAGGGAAGAGAGTGGGAAACGGGGACGAGTTTGCTTGGTTCTAGACTTTTTCACCCCTTTTTTTACGCCATCTCCGATGTAGATCCCCTGAGATTGTGGCGGCCTCGAGTCTGACATGGATAAAAGATAGAGATGAGACACCGAGGCTACATCTCTCTTTTTCTCACGTAGAATAAACGTGTGCCGTAGCTGCCCGTGACGTATTTTTATCGCCAGCGTCGTCCTCGAGAAAGGGTTTGTTGGTGCTAATAATAGGAATCAGAGAATGTGAGTGACTGAGAGATGACAGCGGCATCGATTGTGTGTAGCTATTTTGTAATGGGCGATTACCGTACGTCCATGTCGCGAGTGACGATCCCGTGGCGTGCAAGACCCACAACAAAAGGACGGCGGAGAAGACCGAGACGAGTGACTTTCTGGGCTTAGAAGTGGATAATAGGAGCGTGATGATGATTCTCCGGGTGCAATCACGTTGGTCGAAAGGGATAGCTAGTTATGGGTGGCAGGTTGACACAATAAGTGGGATTAGTGGTCTCCTCGGTAGCGAAGGAGGATAACCGGTATTCCGTCTCCCTAGGGTATGCCCTGAAGAAGACGAGAATTGTTGCTGATCTAGATGCATCAGATCGTCCTTATGGGTGACCCCATACACCAAACACTAGGGGAGTTGTTTATAGATGGGGGCTGGATGAGTGGTTGCTGGGTTGTCGAATGGGAGTCGGGTTATGTTGGGCTATTTTTTTTCGTCGAGTAGAGTTGTCGATGCCAAAAGCGGAAAATCGAAGACTCCGGTGCTGTAGCTGTCTCTGAGGCCTCCAGGCACCGACAGGAGCGGTTGCCGACCCGTTCCTTTTAGACCGCCCTACCCACGGAGCGCTCTAGAAAATCACACAAAATAGCAGAAATGACAAAAGTGAGGGAGATGGTAGAAGAGAAGGCTTTGATACTGTGTACTGAATATTGTAGCTATTTTTGGGCTATTTGGACGGTCAAGTGGGCCGGACGGATGGGCGTGACAGATGGATCAATCAATGTACCTCGCCCTTCATCACCACGAACGGTTAGAGTCGTCGCGGTGATTGATTGGACCCCCAAAACTTGTCTTCTCTCTACGACTATCCCTTCTCCTCTCCTCCCCTCTCCTTCTCGCCAAAGTCCACGGCCAAGGGCACTCGCAGAGTCCCACTCCTCTCTCTTTTTACTCCACAACACTCTCGTTTATATACTCCCTCCGCTCCTCGTTTCTCTTGTCTACCAGGCGAGCGGCGAGTAAACCTCAACCTACACCGATCAATTCGACTCCCCACTGCAATCGGTAGCTAACTATGGCGACGGATTACGATCCCTTTGATGCTATTCTACATCACATCTTCAAGCAAACCCAAGGCCAGGCATGGTTCAAGCCAACGGAGGAGTCCATGCAAGTCAGTACCTCTTCGCGCCTCGACTCCGAAGTGATCGTTACCCGTCGCATTCCTCCACAAACTCCCGCTTCACACTAACGATACACGATGCTAATCATGTTGAATATAGGCTGGTGTGGCTTTGCGAATAGAAAACAATCCTCCTCGCTTCCGAGTGTTTCCATACGAAAACATGTCGCTCGTCCCCTTTGAAGCTGCCGTCCGAGGCCTCAACCCGCTCGTGGCCGTCAAGACGCGGTCGGCGGCTGTTCACGCTGCGTTGGGGTTGATTGGGCCCACGGATACGGGCTTTTATATTGATACAGAGACACGGATTCAAGTCGTCGATTGTATGGAGCAGTTGCCTGCTGCCGAAAAGGACCAGTGCGCTGCTTTTGTGGTGAGTATACAGTTTGGAATGTTATGTTGATACTAAGAGTTTTGTAGCGTGATGAACGTGTATTGGTGTGTTGGGCCGACAGTCTCGACAGTATCATTCCAAAGTAGGCACCATCTAACTTGGCTCGTATACAAGTGCTCACTCGTCCCCAGCTGCAACGAACTCGATGACAAGCTCATGGCGCTCGTCTGGAAAGCCCGTCAAGCGACCGTGTTGGGAGGCAGCGACGCTGGTTCTATCCGTGCTCCTTCCCAATTCGCCGACTCAAACTCCCTCCACCCCTCCCTCCAGGGCCTCACAGGCGGCGCTGCATCTTTTGCCGGTCAACCCCAAGGCCTCCCCTTTTCCGAAAAACCAGAAGCTGAAACCACCAATGCTACCAATGAAAAGCGACGAAACGTACGGTCTTCATTCTTTGGGTGGAAGGCGGAAAAGGATGGGGAAGAGGTGGAAGGTGGAAAGCCGGCTCGACGACCGACGAGGTTGTTTGCCCCCGTTTATAATGGAATTGGAGCTGCTCTTGCGCTTGCGATGACACTTGATGTTGTGCGCAAGCTGCTCTACGAGTTTTGGCTCGATGGTTTGACGCTTAGGTTTGCCCTTGTCGCCGTCATTCCCTTTCTCTTTTGTGGTTCCTTGGTGAGTAGCACGCACACGCTCCTAATGTAATATTGACTTGTTTTAGTTCTTTTACCTGTTTGCGGTTGGTATCATTACCCAGTGCATTGGACCCGTTGCCCAATTCCATCAAAACTCGAAATACTATTCTGCCGTCAAGCCCGCTGCCAATCCTGTCGTCGACAAAAAGCTTCCCCACATTACCATTCAAATGCCCGTCTACAAGGAATCGCTCAAAGAGACCATTGCCCCCTCTTGCGAATCGATCAAAAAGGCCATGCAAACATATGCCCGTCAAGGTGGCACCTCTTCGATCATGATTTGCGACGATGGTATGCAATTGATCGATGAGGAACAAGCCAGTGCTCGCAAACGATACTATATGGACCACAACATCGGTTGGATTTCCCGCCCGGCTCATTCGAGCGACCCCGATGGCTTCAAGCGTGCTGGTCGATTCAAAAAGGCGTCCAACATGAACTATGCACTCAACATTTCGCTCAAGATGGAACAGCACCTCGAACATTACATGCAAAACGAACAAGCGGCTTTGAATGCTCGTACGGCGGCTCATCTCACCCGGGCTACCGAGCGCGAGCAGGGTATCATGGGTGGCTGGGAAGAACAAGAGGATATGGAACCCCTCGAAGATTTGGCGCTCCGTGCGGCTATGGATGAGGTGTTTGCCGAGAGCGGACACCGGTTCCAGCCCCAAGGTGCCGGTGGTCGTGCAGTTCGGATGGGAGAAATCATTTTGATTGTCGATTCGGATACGATCGTGCCCGAGGATTGTCTGCGTGATGCCGCCCGTGAGATGGCCGAGTCTCCAGAAGTTGGGGTCATTCAACACGAGTCGGACGTTATGCAAGTCTCGCACAACTATTTCGAGAATGGTATTGCTCATTTTACGAGGAGGATCAACAAGGCGATCTCGTTTGCTGCTGCGAATGGAGAGGTGGCTGCGTTTGTCGGACATAATGCGTTTTTGAGGTGGAGTGCGTTGCAGGATGTCGCGTTTGTCGACCCCGAAGATGGAATTACAAAGATTTGGTCCGAGAGCAACGTGTCGGAGGATTTCGATATGGCGCTGCGGTTGCAACTTGGAGGGTATATTGTTCGATGGGCTACGTATTCGGAAGGTGGATTCAAAGAGGGTGTCTCGCTCACGGCCGACGATGAACTCAACCGATGGGAAAAGTATTCGTATGGTTGCTCGGAACTCATTTTCAACCCGCTCATCAAGTGGTTCACCCGCGGTCCCGTCACTGGTCAATTGCACAAGTTTGTGTGGAGCAATGCACCCTTCCATTACAAGCTCAGTATGCTCGCGTACATGTTTTCGTACTATGGTATCGCGGCCTCGTTCACGCTCTCGGTCATGAACTACTTTGTGATTGGCTGGCGTGCGCCGATCGATGGCATGTACTTGCAGTCGTGGGAGATTTGGGTGGCGATTGTTTTCATCTTCCCCTTGTGTGGTAACCTCGCTCATACCTTGCTCGAGTATCGTTTGGGACAAAAGGGACTCATTGCCGCCTTCTTTGAGAATATCATGTGGATTCCATTCTTGTGAGTCGGCTCTTTTTTCTTTATTGACTTGTTACTGATGAGTTGTAGCTTCATCTTCTTTGGTGGCTTGTCGATCCATCTTAGCAAGGCCATCCTCGCCCACTTGTTCTCGTACAATATCCAGTGGGGAGCGACCAAGAAGGAAGTCGAACGATCCAACTTTTTCCTCGAAGTGCCCAAGATCCTCAGACGTTTCCGCGTCGCGCTCTTCCTCTCGATCGCGACCATTGCCGCCATGGTTGTACTCGCCACTCCTGCCGTACCCATGGACTGGCAGATCCCGTACAATAACTGGACGGTCATTGTCCCACTGGCGATCGCGGTCGTGTCGCACGTTTTGTTCCCTGTCGTCCTCAACCCGTACCTCATGGTGTTCTCGTACTAGAAAGGGAGAATCAAATCTTCAACTCGCTGTTTTTTCTTTTCCTGCAAACCATTGTACATCATCCATCATACGCAAGACGAAACCATACAACCTTCACGAGCCAATCAACCCCCTCCACTTCCACTCGTACCACCTTTGCTTTTCTTGGGCCTGTGCAACCTCCTTTTTGTGTCTCCCTTCAACCCCAACACACGTCGACTCTCCCGTATTACTTGATCTATCACCTCTTTAACTCTAAGACACGTGCACTCGACCCCCCCGGAGCGCATCTTTATTCTCTTCCGCAAACCAAATCCAGCAAGGTCTTTTTTCTCCTTATTCTTGGGCGACTGCTGGTCACGAGCAAGGCCTCGACACAATGCCTGTCGCTCTCTCCAAAACAACCAACTCCCTCGCACTCCTTACCCTTCTTGAAACCCCTC